AACCGTCCCTGTGCACCCAGAATCCCATTGCCACCAACTTCGTGTAAACTCTAGTCCCGAGGACACGAGAGAGACCCAGGCCTCCGGCTCCGTGGGCACGCTCGTCACCTCCGCTCTAGCTAGACGGATGCGCGCACTCTACAAATCTCGGGGCCCACCGCACCAAGAGGACAGGGAGGAGCCAACAAAGGAAAAACCCTAAGAAACGCACCCCCAAATCAACCAATCCAAGAAAAAACACGTTTCAGGCCTCCCTTGGTTCACCCGTGTGGGCGGCCTGCCACCCTGTTCTGGCCCAGCCCAAGCACCCTCCACCCTACCCAGGCCTGCTCAATGGGGCCCTGTCTACCAGAGCAGAGGACTCCCTCTCTAAGGTTGTATGGCTCTCGCTTTCTATCTCCCTCACCCTTTCTCTTCTTTCCCCTCCACCATGCACCCTTTCTTTCGCGTTCTCTCTCTCTCTCCCCTCCGTCACTCTGTCTCTCTCTCTCTATCGCTGTCTCTCTCTTCCTCCCTTTTTCTCTCCATCCCTTTCTCTCTTGCTCTCCCTCAAGCTATCTGTCTCTTTCTCTCTGTGTGTGTGTATGTGTGTACCCGCGCGAGTGCGCCAGTGTGTGTCTGTGTGTGTGGGGAGGGCCGGGGTGGGGAGGGGGTTGGTTTTGCTCGTGGTGGTCGTGAGATGTGTCTGGGTGTGCTTCAGCCCCTCTCTCCCGGGATCCAGGATGTGTGTGCTGGGGGGAAGCAGTGGAAAGGGTGTTGAAGGAAGGTGACAATCAGCTTCATGGAGGGCACTGACAGGCCATTATTCCTGTGGCTTGGCAAGTTTTCTGTTTGAACTTATTTCTTGTTAAGGGTCCAAGTGTACCGACTATGGGAATAAGAAAAGAAGAATAGTTCTGAACAGCTGAAGCTCTGTGAGGTACAAAAGATTTTTCTGGCCCAGAGAGACTTGAGTATGGGATTTGAGACACACCTCCACACCCTTTCCCAGGGGCAATTGTTTAAAGGTATGTTGTTCCTAAGGAGCTGTCTCATCTGGAATTTGTGATACAAAGAACAATGTATAGCCAGTCAGTGGCTTATGGATTTTAATGTAAATTTTTGATGAAAATTTTAGGAATAGGAACTGTGTCTTTTCTCAAAATCCACTCGTAATGGCTACTAATTGGAGTGAATATTCAGGGCAACTTTATGCTCTCAGGTAGGTATCCTGAACATGTGCCCTTGAATATACTTTTGAAAATAGATTCTGACTTTTTTATTATGATGGGTTGACAGGGGACTGGCCTGGGACACCTGCCTGGATGTAAATACCCCAACCATTAGCTGCCCTGCCCAGCAGAGGAGGCGGGTGGACAGCAAGTCCCCTTTGGTCAGAAACACATGCATTGCGTAGTTGTTCTACAGCTGGGTCCTGCTTGCGAGGACAGTCCCACAGGCGCACCGGAATGCACAGGCAGCCTCCCCTTTCCACCCGCCAGCATTCCCAAGCACGCCTCGGCTTCTGACTGGTCTGTGCTTTGGGAGGAAAACTCATCTTCAGGTTTCTCTCCAACAGAAGATGATGATGATGCTGTTCAGACACTCAGGAAAAAAGATTGCAGATTGGCTTAAGAGTGTGCCCTTTATTAAAGATGGTATACATGTAAAGACATGGAACAATTTTGGAGGGATACAAAAAAAAAATTGCCCATTTTATTAATAGTCTCATTCAACCCCTTTGCTGACCTCATCTCCTGTCACTCATAACCAAAGGAGGAGGGTCCTGGAGCCCTGTCCAATCAGGGACATTGACGTGGGAATTGTCCAATCAGGAGCGCAGCTTGAGAGGCAGAGGCGGTTTCCGGGATCTGGCGGGGCCTTTGTCTTGCGCTCCAGTTGGAGCTTCGGTCGCGTCTTCTCCGCTGTTTATCCTCACCTGCGGGAGGCCCTGGTGACTCTGTTGCTGCAGTGTCTGGTTTCCCTGTGACCTGCAGGTGCTGGGAGTTACGTAGCTAAAATGCCAGGACACACCGAAATCCGGAAAACGGTGAGAGTTCCCTGGAGGGTGTTCCAAGATGGCGGTCCGGCCTCCCCGCATCAGCTCCGGAGTCCGCGGCCCGGAGTCTCTGCTGGCACCTGTGGGATCTGTCACCTCTGGGTAGGGGCGGGGCCGGGCCGCCGCGTGATTCTCCTCCCATCGCTGCGCCGCGGCTTCCGCCCGGGCCTCCGCCGCGGCCTCTCTGGGCAGCTGTGAAGCTGCAACCCCGCCAGTCCCCCAAACTGTGTGCTTGTTCCGGAGGGGAGGGTCATCGGGGAGAAGCCCAACTCGGTGTGCGAAACATGCGTGGGAAGAGCTGTTCCATAGGGCTCATCTTAGCTGTGCAGTCCATCCTTTTTCCTGTGAAAAATAAAGGGAGTCACTCTTAAAGCTTTGAAGAGTTTGTTTGAGCAAAGGGAGTTTCTGGAATGGGAGAGCACCCATCTATGGTGTGTGGCTTGTGGGTTTATGGAGGAGGTGCTTGAAGGAAAGGCTTTTGTAGGGTGCATGAGGAAGCAAGCCAAATTTAATAATTGACTGGCGACAGTTACAGTCACTTTATTTGGACTGTACAGGTGGAAATTTCCTGGTTATTTAATTAGAGATTAATTGGAGTTTTGTGATTGGTTGAACCTGGATTTTGTTTCCACTTAAGGTAGTCATTAACAAGAAATGCATTTGAGCTACTAATATTTTTCATGTCGAAACGCAAGACACTAGAGTCACATCTGTCTAATTGCCTGCTAATTATTTTAACACTGCACAAGAGACTGGTTTTCCCCTGCATTTTCCAAATACATGGAAAGCAGGGTCTCAAATCTCCTCCCCTGCTCCCCCAGCCTAACTCTGGCCTGCAATAAAATACTAAATTTTCAGTCTCTTTCCAAAATTCACAAAAACCACCGTCACCTCTTCAATTCACAACATTGTCAGCTATTTGTCTTTTATTGCATACTCCAGGCACAATATTTTAGTTAATCATTTTTTCACAGAACATTGGAGGGCACTCTTTGTTGTTGCTGTTGTTGTTTTGTTTTTGTTTTTTCTTTAAGAAGGAGTCTCGCTCTGTAGCCCAGGCTGGAGTGCAGTGGCGCGATCTTGGCTCACTGCAACCTCTGCTTCCCGGGTTCAGGCGATTCTCCTGCCTCAGCCTCCTGAGTAGCTGGGATTACAGACGCGTGCCACCACCCTGAGCTAATTTTTGTATTTTTAGTATTTTGTGTTTTAGTTTCATCGTGTTGGTCAGGCAGGTCTCCAACTCCTGACCTTGTGATCCCTCCGCCTTGATCTCCCAAAGTGCTGAGATTACATGCGTGAGCCACGGCGCTTGGCCTGTTGTTTTTTTTTCCTGCCCGGCTTTTTTTTTTTTTTTTTTTTTTTTTTTTTTTTTTTTTTTGGTTGAGTTGGAGTCTCGCTTTGTTGACAGGCTGGAGTGCAGTGGCATAATCTCGGCTCATTGCAACCTC